AACAACGGGGCAGTTGTTCAAGTCAAACATTTAGAAATTACCCTTCATTCTTCTTGCATTCTTCTCCCACTCACATCTATACCATCAGGATGGGCTGGCACCTCTACCTCAAAAACAGACCCTAAATCAATACTTTTCTTTCCATCTCTCTCCATCTGAGCTACCACCTCTTGCTTGAACTCAAAACCAACATAAAATCCAAATTTAGAGAGGATGACATAATCTGATCACTTCTCCTCCTTGTATGCTACACTCTAGCCATCCTGGCCTCCTTCCAGTTCCTTGAACACACAACACCAGCCAGGCTTATTCCTGTTTTAAAATCATTAAGCTGATGGTCATTCCCTCTGCCTGAATGTCCATCTTCACATGGCTGGCTCCTTGTCATTCAAATCTCAACTTAAATGTCCTCTATGTAAATATGACCTTCCATGACTAGTCAATCTAAATTAATAATCTAATCACTTCTCTTACTATATCACTTTTAAAATCGACCAAACAAAACATTTTAAAATTACACTCAATTTTTAGACCTATCTAATACTTACATTGCTATATAATATACAGACAACTACATAAGCAAGAAAATAATCTCCCCCAGTAAATATGAGCCCCATGAGAACCAGAGGCTTTGTCTGTTTTGTTCAGTTCTGTTTCTCCAGTGTCTAGAACAATGTCTGGTACAAAATAATCATTCAGTAAACAGTTAATGAGTGAATACATATTATGTACACTATCAAAGGAAAGGATAGTGGTAAAGCAACATCTAAAGATTCAACTGGATGTAAGGAGGAGACAACCGAGGTGTCTGGCTCTCCAATATGAGAGTAATCACACCCTGAGATACTTCTAAGAAAACAGACTCATCAAGCAAAGGCCTGGTTACAGAAAAAAAAGAAGAGAGAAACCAACCATTCAAGGAAAGGGTTAAGGGTATTTGGAAAAATTCTATTACTGAACACAAGTCCAGAGGACAAATAAAAGATTTAGAATGGAGAAGATAGGCTTTGAACTAGCACTGATGTGAAATGGGGCTGAAAATGTGTAAGAAGATAATTATTTGGAGGTGTTGAAACTTCTGGTAGCTTCTGTCATTCTTAGGAGAAGATAAAATTGGGGAGTCTAGAGGTAGTCAGAACATTGAAACCTGTGAGTAAATGTGTTAGCCAGGCTCGGTGGCTCAGCCTGTAATCCCAGCACTTTGGGAGGCTGAGGTGAGTGGATTGCCTGAGCCTGCGGGTTCAAGACCCACCTGGGCAACTTGGCGAGACCTCATCTCTACAATAAATCAAAAATTAGCTGGGTGTGGTAGCACACGCCTGTAGTTCCAGTTATTTGGAAGGCTGAGGCGGAAGGATCACTGGAGCGCAGCAGGTTGAGGCTGCAGGAGCCGGGGGTGGCCACTGCACTCCAGTCTGGGTGACAGAGTGAGACTCTAACTCAAAAAAAAAAAAAAGAACAAATGTGTTTTGAGGCTGTTGAAGAATCAGAAGCAGCTCTGGGAGAGACATGGTCAAAACAGTTTAAATACAAGTGTATTAGTCCATTTTGCGTTGCTATAAAGGAATACCTGAGACTGGGTAATTTATTAAAAAAAGAGGAACATTTTGGCTCACAGTTCTACATGGCATCAGCATCTGCTGAGCTTCTGGTGAGGTCTCAGGAAGCTTACAATCATGGTGGAAGGAAGAGAAGGAGCAGGCATGTCTCATGGCAAGAGCAGAAGCAAGAGCCAAAGGAGTTGGTGCCAGGCTCTTTTAAACAATCAGTTTAAAATAGCCTGAAATAACAGAGTGAGAATTAACTCATTACTGAGAGAATAGCAATAAGCCATTTGTAAGAGGTCCACCCTGCGACCCAAACACCTCTTGCTAGACTCTACCTCCAATACTGGAGATCACATTTCAATATGAGATTTAAGGGAACAAACATCCAAATTATATCACAAAGATTCCTTCCATTAGCTGCAGAACAGTTGGGGAAATGCCAAAAGCTGGCACAGGACTAAGACAATAGTGAGGACTTGAATTAAACTAAACTTTTGATTCAGAGAATATTTAGATGAGCGGTCTTATTCTAAATTTAAAATAAACATATTTATTTTATCTTTGATGTGGTTCAGTAGGGTTTAATAAATATCACCTAAGTTCATAGTTCACCTAAAGAAACAAAAGCAAAACAAACAGTTATTTGACCTAGAACAAAGCCATGACACTAGAAAGTCAATGTGATTCACCAAGAAAAGTGTCAGCTATGTACAAGACACTATAAGGGACAGAAAATAAAGATAGGCCCTGTGCTTGTGGCAGATTGTGCTTTCAAAAACAGCCACAGCAATATCTCCAGTCCTGCGTGTTCTTCCAGAACCTTGCCATTCCTGGATTAAGAAGTGGATTCTATTTCCCTACACTTGAGCCTGGGAAGGGACTTTTTGATTACTTCGACAATTAGAATGCAGTGATATTGCATGACTTCCACAGCTAACGAATAAAAGGCAACATGACTTCCACTTGGCTCTCTCAGTCTCCCAGAATGTTCAAGTTTTGAATCCAGTCACCATACCATAAGGAGGCTCAAACAGCCCATGGAAAGACCATATGACAAGGCCCACATAGAGACTGGAGCCCACTGTGCCCTAAGTTCCTGAGAGTGAACATCACACGTATTCACTATAAGCCACTAAGAATTTCCTCCAGGATAGAATGCAGTGGCATGCTCACAGTCACCCCAGGGTTGGCCTGCTGGGCTCCAGCAATCCTTCTGCCTCAGCCTTCCAAGTAGCTAGAACTACAGGCGTGTATTACTATGCCCAGCTAATTTTTGATTTATTGTAGAGACAGGTCTTGCCAAGTTGCCCGGGCTGGTCTCAAACCTGCGGGCTCAGCCAATCCACTCGCCTCGTCCTCCCAAAGTGCTGGGATTACAGGCTGAGCCACCAAGCCCAGCCAAATCACTAAGTTTTAAGATAATTTACACAGCTGTCAGTAACCAGTGTTCAAGCAGTTTACAACTTAGTAGGAAAAATAAATAAGGATACAGATAACTAGTGTAGGCAAGATGTGATACTACTTTTTACTGGGAGAGGAACATAAAGCAATAATTCTATAGTTAAGGGATGGAGCACTGAGGGAAATGATAGGAAAGTCTTCACAGCTAGGTCCTAGAAGACAGATCAAACTATGAAGGAAAACAGTAACAACAACAAAAACAAAAGGAAAGTCTGGGCCAGGCACAGTGGCTCACACCTGTAATCAATCCCAGCACTTTGGGAGACGAAGGTGGGAGGATTGCTTGAGCCTAGGAATTCAAGACTAGCCTGGGCAACATAGCAAGACCTAGACTCTACAAAAAAAAAAAAGAAAAGAAAAGAAAAATTAGCTGGGCATGATGGCACATGCCTGTAGTCCCAGCTATTTGGAAGGCTGAGGTGGGAAAACTACCTGAGCCCAAGAGGTTGAGGATGCAATGAGCCACGATCATGCCACTGCACTCAATCTGAGCAAGAGTGAGACTCCTAATCAAAAAAAAAAAAAAGAAAGAAAGAAAGGAAAGTCTGGTAGAACTTAGTGACAAAGTAGCATAACATATGAATCCTCTTGGAGATAAAAAATTCAACTTTTTTTTTTTTTTTGACATAATCTCTATAATACCTGAATAGTAGTAAATTATTTGCAGGACAGTATAGGAAATATTATCTTATAAAGACATAAGGTAGAGCTCGAGACTGACTTCAATCTTATAAAATTATTAAATTTCTTGCTGTTTTAACATTTTGCACTTGGATGTCCCCTCTGAGGGGACACCATAAATCTAGCAAACTACTCAGATGTCCTTCCCCACCCAGGGGACATAAAGAGATTGCTGGTTATACAGGACAAACTTATACCAGTGCAAATTTTTCAAAAATGTGTGTTTCCTTGAAGTTGTCCATTCAAATTGCATGAAAAAGCAAATAGAGATGAAATATATACTGAGATATGATTGATCAGCTGAGAAGTGGTTTTCAGGAATCACAAGTATGTCCTTCCACATCTTCACCAAACAACAGACTGAATGATAAATTACATATTATTAACGTGGGAGGAAGAAAATGAGAATGTATCATCTGCTTGAATAGAAAAACACCCCCAGGTGGAAGATGTCAAACAAATTACTATCATACAACATGTATCAATGAACCTGCGATGCATGTTGGTGACTATTTCACACATGACCATGAATTAGAAAAATATAAGATATAAAATTTTGATTTTTTTTGTCATAAGTTCCTTAATGTCCAAAATTCCATTATAAACCAAATATCATTACAATGAAATAGATGGTTCCAATGCTATACTATTTAACATGAAGTGATTTGTTTTCCACTATTCCATAAAAAAAAGTGTGGTTGAGTTGCTGGTAGGTGATCTGTGAGATGTCTCCAGGTGCAGAGGGCTAACCTCTATGCAAAGGTTAAGGTCTAACCCTGACCCTAAGAAATGAAAGCCACTTATCAGCGTCTCCTTTGATGTACTGGCCAAGGCAAAAATCAGCACCTTGCTTGCTCTCTGTTCCAGACCCAATATCAGCTTAATGACAGCAATTCTCCATGATTAGCATGTTTTGGAGTTCTAGGGATGATTTATAGGGAGACATTTGCCTTGAACCAAAATGAAAAAAGCCAGCACCTAATGACAGTCATAAAAAGCTGAGTAAATTCATAAGTTGCTTTAATTGCTGAAATTTACCCCTAGCTTTCCTGATAAAGTCATGAAGATTGTATCTGCAGGCATCAGGCTGATAACCTGGGAAATAAATTACTACTTATTAAACCAAATCAAAGCATCTAGCTCTTTGAGCTAATCAGTACAAGTACAAGACCAAAAAGAGTAACTTTGAGCTGCTTGTTCAGCAACGACTATTTAAGAGACTCACCTTTGATTTGGGATCCCTCCTATTACTTTAGACTTTCTGTGAAAGTGTTCAAGTAGATAGTCTTTAGAAACATTATAATTTCTCACCTCATAATACTTTTTTAAGGAGCCCACCAGGCACTGCTTCAGGCTATCCACAATTTCCTGATGAGGCATCTGGAATACCACTCGTGAATACCATTTTGTGAGGGTGCTGGGGTAAGGGTCATTAAACAAAGAGACAGAGAAAGCAAGATGAACAAACACCCACAGAGGAAGGCCTATGGTCTGATGTTAGCACACACAGAGTTCTCTATTAATCAGTCCAATAATAAGTATCTAGTAAATGCATTTATGGTCTACGTAAAAACAAGTAGTAATGTGGGGGAAAAGACACACTTAAGCCATACACAGAATACAAAAATATAATTGTAGATATTGTCTACAAAACTATTCCAATTGAAAAAACCTTAACCTAGATATCCACCAACAAAGGATTAGTTAATTAAAGTGATATAGCATCAACAAATTCTGTGCAGCAATTGAATTGGTTGAGATTTGAATTGGTACTGATAGGGAAAAATGTCCAAAATAAACAGTTTAAGTACATAAAACAAGCTGGGAACAATATGCCTAATAATATTTCATTTGTGTCTGAGTAAATAAATAAATATATGTGCATGCATTTATACAGCAACTATATTATGTATATATAACATGCTATGTATAAATATATGCATAAAAGAGAACCTAAAAGCATATATACATCAAAATTTTGGTGGTGCTTAATTGACAATGGACCGAAAGAAACTTTAACATTCTAAATTTCTGCAGATATATGAAATAAGCATGTTTTATTTTTACAACCAGAACAGACAGACAAATACCTCATTTCTTGGGGGAAGGAACCAACAAGAAGGCACAGCCCCCATCCTTGAAGGGGGTTGCACTGCAGCTGGGAAGTAAACTTACACCTGTGACAAGTTTGGTTAGTCTGTTGCACAGACAAATGTCACAGGAAGATAGTGGAGGAAGGAGTTTATAATTCTTTATACTATAATACATATTACTAAAAAAATTGCTAGATTTACAATAAGATTAGACCTAAAAATGAGGTAACCAAACAAAACAGTACCACGAGTAGTACTTACAGATTGATGCTTGCAACGAAGCCAACCACGGAGCGCATGCCTCTGCTGGGGTCGTGGTAGACATCCATGCCAATCACCATTAATTGTTTCTAGGTTAGAAAGTAACAACCAAAAGCAAACCCCAAAATCCATTGTTTCATTTTCAACTATTATCTGAACCCCAAAGCTATTTCCCCTTACTGTTTACATATGAAAACGAGCTCTGGGAAAGGAAAAGGAAGACAATTAATTTGACTTTTTTTTCTTTCTCTTTAATCAAATGATCAGCAATGAGTATTCTCTTTATTTCAGGTCAGTCCTTAAAGATGACTGCCATCATTTCACTGATTTAATTTTCTTTCTTTCTTTTTTTTTAATTGGAGTTTCACTCTGTAGCCCAGGCTGGAGTGCAGTAGCATGTTCACAGCCACTGTAGCCTCAACTTGCTGGGCTCAGAGGATCCTTCTGCCTCAGCCTTCCAAGTAGCTGAGACTACAGGCACGCACCACCACTGCACAGCTAATTTTTTGATTTATTGTAGAGACTAGGTCTCACCAAATTGCCCAGGCTGGTCTCAAGCCCCTGGGCCCAGGTAATCCCCTTGCTTTGGTCTCCCAAAGTGCTGGGATTACAGGTTTGAGCTGTATCCAGCCACATTTGACATTTTTTTCTTTTTCTTTTTTTTTTTTATTTGGAGTCTCACTCTGTCTCCCAGGCTGGAGGGCAGTGGCACATGCACCTGCTAGGGTCTGGCGAGCCTTCCGCCTCAGCCTTCCAAGTAGCCGGAGCTATAGGCAGGCACTACCACACCCGGTTAACTTTTTTTTTTTAATTGTAGAGACGAGGTCTTGCCAAGTTTCCCAGGCTGGTCTCGAACCCGTGGGCTCAGGCAATTCACTCGCCTCAGCATCCAATTCACTCGCCTCAGCATCCCAACATGCTGGGATTACAGGCTGAGCTACCGAGCCCGGTCCACATTTTTTAAACATCATAAACAAAGTCAGAGATCTAAGCCAGGCTCGGTGGCTCAGCCTGTAATCCTGCGCCTTTGGGAGGCTGAGGTGAGTGGATTGCCTGAGCCCACAGGTTTGAGACCCGCCTGGGCAACTTGGCAAGACCTCATCTCTACAATGAGTCAAAAATTAGCCGGGCGTGGTAGCGTGCGCATGTAGTTCCAGCTACTTGGAAGGCTGAGGCGGAAGGATCGCCGGAGCCCAGCAGGTCGAGGCTGCGGTGGCTGGGAGCGGCCACTGCACTCCAGTCTGGGTGACAGAGTGAGACTCCAACTCAAAAAAAAAAAAAAAAAAGTCAGAGATCTAGACCACAGATCTGCAAACTTTTTCTGTAAAAAGACTAAAGAGTAAATATCTTAGACTTTGTGAGACATATGGTCTCTGCAGGAACCACAGGTTAAGCATCCCAAATCTGAAATCTGTAATGTTCCAAAACCTGAAACTTTTTGGGCACTGACATGACATTTAAAGAGTTTCAGATTTTGGAGCATTTCAAATTTGGGGTTTTTTGGACTAGGGATGCTCAACTGGTAAGTGTAATGCAAATATTCCAAAATCCCAAAACATGTGAAATCCAAAAAAGTTCTGGTCCCAAGCATTTTAGATGAGGAATTCTCAATCTGTATCCAATTCTGTCTTTATAAAACAAAAGTAGTCATGGACAGTATGGAAAAAAAAGAGTGGCTGTGTCCCAGTAAAATCATATTTAAGGACACGAAAAACTGAATTTCATATAATTTTCATGAGTCATGACGTATTGGTCCTATTCTCATTTTTTTTTCACCGTTTAAAAATGTAAAAGCTGTTCTTTGTTCATGGGCACTCTCAAAAACAAGCAGCGAACCATTTAGACTACTGAGTAAGCACCGAGGAAAGAAAGGATAACTAAATGAGAAAAACTAAGAAAATAGCTTGGAGGATTTTCCAGACACAAACTGAATAAAACCGTAAATCTCAGCATCACTCACCAGAGGAATATCCACTCCCCAGAGCACACCACCCAATTTACAGTTAATCTGAAGTAAAATTTTCTGGGCCACACTTCGAAGCTTGGTGGGCTGTCCAATGACACGAACATTGATAACCTATGATGAAGGGACAAAAGGGAGAGGGAAAGCAGGACACTGTCAACCTCTCAGAAAATGTAAATAATTCTAAACTAAATGCTATAATTGTTTTAGAAACTTGAGCTAGCAAATGATACGTTTTGCATTTATAGTTCTGATTCTAGGTTTGCTAGGCATGTATGCACACAGACAAGATACTACACTCACACACAAGACCAAGTCTAAAACAAATTATAACCAACAAATGAAAACTTTCAAAAGGATATCAGGCAGAGTGGAATTTTTTTTTTTAACTCACACAGGAATAACAGCTTTCCCCTTTCAAAATACAGCCTATACTTTCAGAAGCCAGTCATGCATAACCACTTGGTGACTTAGGCTCTGAACAACAAACTGCTTGCTCCCTTGGGAACACGAAGGCAGCATTTATGAAGAGTTATCAGCTAACATGCCAGGTTATTCTAATCAGGGGAAATTCACCAAAATTTTCTACACATATTGGCTTCTAACAGCTATTTTTAGTCTTTTTGAACACACTACCCCTCTTTGCCAAGTCTCAGGGGAGGCGAGGGATACCATCTGCACCTCTTGCCCCAATTTCCACTCACCTGGGAGGGCACTGGAGACTGCACACAGCACAGCTTCTTGATGGCCCCATAGAGATCATCACATGTGCCCATGATGATACAAACAACCATTTGTATCTTTCCCTTGAGGAGATAAAGTATATATAAATCAGGCTTACGAACTCTCTGGAGACTTTCATGGGATTCTAATTGGGTGTATTCTGAGCCTGCATAGCACCAGGACCTTTAAGGTAAATCAGGAACTGAAAGAATGAGAGTGAACATTCCAACCAAACCAAGGTCCTTGGATCTGAATTAACATTTGTTTGGTTCAGGGTTGCTCTGCATAAGTAGGTAATAATATGTTGCTATTAATTACCTAGAGCTAGCTCTGATTATCAAAGACTTATCTATTAGGAGACTTCAGACATATGCAAGAGGACCAGGATTTAAAGTATACAAGGTAGGCTGGGCTTGGTGGCTCAGCCTGTAATAGCAGCACTTTGGGAGGCTGAGGCGAGTGGATTGCCTGAGCCCAGGGGCTTGAGACCCACCCGGGCAACTTGGTGAGACCCCGTATCTACACTAAATCAAAAATTAGCCGGGTATGGTAGTGCACGCCTGTAATTCTGGCTACTTGGAAGGCTGAGACGGAAGGATCACCAGAGCCCAGCAGGTTGAGGCTGTGGTGGCCGGGAGCATGTCACTGCACTGTAGCCTGGGTGATGGAGTGAGACTCCAACTCAAAAAAAAAAAAAAAAAAATATGCAAGGTAAAGTACATGACTTGCTGCTTCCAATTCCCTATAATGTTTTTTACCACGCTCTTTAGTTACATAAGCAACTTATTACATTCATACCACAGAGCTTTAACTGAGGAAACATGAAATATAGCACTACAAAGAAGGTTCAGAGCCAAATGCAGAATGAAATGAAGTTATTGCCAAATCTATAAGCAGTTATTCCTAACTCACTGGTGTGGAGATTGAATGATATTGCCAACAGTATCTCATGTCAGTATCCTCTATCTATGCTTAAGATATCCAATACTGAAAAAAAGAATCTTTCAAAGTCTAAATAAAGAAAAGGAGCACTCAAGTGAAACAAGGTTGCCAATCCTTTATTTTAGAAACTGCTCCAAGTGGTAAATCAGTAGTACCCTGCTCCAAATCAAGACTGGTGTGATGTTAAGCCTTCTCAGAGGATACATACTGAGCAATGGCATCAAAGAATTTCCAAAGGCATGCAGAACACAGCTTTACACAACAAGTCCATGGGTTAGACACAGCAGACAAATGTGTTTTTTTAGTTCCTACAATGATTTACAAATGAATTTGTTTAAATTAACATTTAAACATAGGGAGTTGCAGGCTGGGCGCAGTAGTTCATGTCTGTAATCCCAGTACTTTGGGAGGCAGAGGCAAGAGGATTGCTTGAACCCAGAGGGATTCAAGACCAGCAACTTAGCAACACCTCATCTCTACAATAAATAAAAAAATTAGCTGGGCATGGTAGCATGTGCCTGTGATTCCAGCTTCTCAGAAGGTTGAGGTGGAAGGATTGCCTTAGCCCTGCAGGTCAGGGCTGTGGTGGCTATGAGCACTACACTCCAGCCTGGATGATAGTGAGATTCTGACTCAAAAAATAAAAATAAAAAACAAACATAGGGGGTTGCATACATGTGCAAATTCAGATTTTTGGTTTCTACCAAAAAATAAGCAAAACAAAAATCTATTTGGCAATACTGGGTTTATATCTCCGCACAGAGGTTACCCTCTTTAGTTCATTACACTCCCCCAAAAACAGAATTATTTTATGGAGTGCAGGCCCCTTGTAGTACAGGCTTCCCCTGCTAGGTAAGTGTTCTAGGAACCCATTGGCATCAGTGTGCCAGTTAGTGTTGTTGGGAGAGGCTGCGTTTGACTTCAGTGAATTTTTTGTTTTGGAGATGAGTTCAACGCATTTGCCCATTTTGTGAGGATGATTTACAAACACACCTGACCACACTGTACTGAGTGTTCAGCAGTTTTTGACCAAAAGTGGCATGACCTCCATGCCCCATCCTCCCTGTTCACCTAATCTTGCCCCTGGTGACTTTTTTGTTTGCTTCCCTGGATTAAAAAAGTCCTCAAAAGGAAATATTTTGCCAATATGGAAGAGGTGAAACAAGAAACATTAAAGAAGCACTAAAAGATCAAAAGTGGTAAGTTCAAAAACTTGTTTTAAGCAGTGGAAAGAGTATCTTGATAGGTAGTGTATCAAACAGAGAATACTTTGAAGGTGACTCAAATTTAAACATGTAAGAATAAATACAGCTGGGCTCAGTGGCTCAGCCTGTAATCCCGTGCTTTGGGAGGTTGAGGTGAGTGGATTGCCTGAGCCTGTGGGTTCGAGACC